CCACCACAATCAGCTTTTTGAAACAGCAACAACAGCCCATCATTTACCGTGTGTGAACATTCACTGCATGCATGTGAGGTTAGACAACCCGTGGGAGTCCTTTCTCTCCTCCTACCATGTGGGTGCTGTGCACCAAATTCCAGGCTTCACATTTGGTGACAAGTGCCTTTACCCACTATGTCATCTGGCTGACTTTATTTTGGAGACAGGCAGGGCTTTTCTGTGTATCCCTGGCTGTCCTGGAACTCAAAGATCCACCTGCTTATGCCTTACCACCGTGCCTGGCTCATTGCCTTCTCCACCCCCATATTTTTTCATTTATTTTCAGCCATATTTCCCAGGGCTTAGCCTAGTGCTGGCATAAAAGAGCCAGATGCCCATACTCCAGCTAGCATTTATTACTCATCAAATATGCGTTAATGTATATAACAAAACCAATGTATATGATTTTCACACTCAACAGATAAGTAAACAGGGTCTCACAGAAGCAAATTGACTTATATAAAGTCAGATTGGTAGTAACTACTTGTGCTCAAACCTGAAGCTTCCTACACTTTCACGCTGAACCTGCTGTAATGATTTCATTCTTCTTAGAAGAAAACTTGATGCCCTGAAAAGAGATTGGGGTGAGGCACAGTAAAACCCCCAAAGGCTGAGTCTGGACTATGATGGTGTCTCTGGCTGATTTTAGGGTTTTGGCAGCTTCTTGGAGATTTCAAGAGCTGATTGTCCCCACACCTGGCTTATCTAAGGCTGCTCTTGGAAGGGAATGTGTAACAGATACCAAGGTGAGCATTTCAGGCAATAAAAAGTCCCAGAGAGTAAACAGGGATTTTTATCCACCTGGCAGAGAGGGCTGGGCAGCAGGAAGGCAGCTTTCCTTAAATGGCCTGGCTGAGCCTGCGACCTCACCGCCTACACTCCTCCTCCTCAGGAGACAAAGGCAAGGGCGGAATGGCAGACACCAGCCTCTTTTCTAGGAAGGCCTGCATGAGCCCCAGTCCCAGGCATGAGGAATAAGGGGAGAGTTTAGGAGGCTGGGGTGGGAGTGAGTATCTGATGACGGAAGGCGATCCACGTTTGCTTCTCTCCCTATCCCTGCAGCTTTCAGCACATCCTTCAGAAAGGAGAGGAAATGGGTGTATTTAGTCCACACAGGTGGATGCCTGGAACTGGGTCAATCCATCAAGTGACCAAAGCCCAGGCCCAGACTACAGGCCTGTTTGTCCTGCAGACGTTGTGAAGAAAGCTATGGGAGGAAAAGCCAGTAATTTAAAGGGCTTGTCAGCTCTTTCTCACTCCATATAGATGTAACCCTGTTCATTTGTCTAGTGTCTCCAGAGAGGCGAAGGTCTCATCACCTGGGTCTCTGAAAATTCTGTGCTAAGAAAAAGGAAAATAAGCGACACTCTAGAGAAGCAGCTTACAGTAGACTTGGCAGTGTTGGTAATCCCAGCATTCAGGAGGCTGAGGCAGGAGGATCACCATGAGTTCAAGACTAAACTGGGCTATGCCGTGAGTTCCATAACGGCCTGGGTTAGACCTTGTCTCAATAAACCACAAAGACTGTTTCATTAGGATGGGACAGCAATTAGCATGGCCCTGAACAGGGATGACATGAAAACTTGCAAAGAGCTTCGTATTTAAAAAAAAGAAAAGAAAAGAAAAAGAAAACACAGAATCAGTTAAAAACAAACAAAACCCAGCATGGTGGTGCACACTTTCCATCCCAGCAGTGGAGAAGCGGAAGCGGGAAGATCACAAATTCAGTCATCTGCTATACATAAGATCCAGGCCAGACTGAGCCCCTAAACCTCTGTCCCAAAAACAAAACAAAAAACAAACAACCCCAAACAACAACAACAGAACAACCAGAACTGGTGTCTGCTTCCTAACCCTCAAAAAACAGAGGCAGGGGAATCCTGTGAGTTCAAGGCCTGCCTGGTCTACAATAATGAATTCCAGGCCAGCTAAGGCTACCTCTCAAAAACAAAAAAACATCAAAAACAGAACAAATAAATGAACAAACCTAATGAAAGAATATACTTAGATAGTGGGAGGGGTTTTTTGTTTGTTTGTTTTCTGGGTTTTTTTTGTTTTGTTTTGTTTTGTTTTTTGGGTTTTTTTATTTGTATTTTAAAAAGCCAGTGAAAGAATCTGCAAGTCTTTTTTTTTTTGTTTTTGTTTTTCGAGACAGGGTTTCTCTGTGGTTTTGGAGCCTGTCCTGGAACTAGCTCTTGTAGACCAGGCTGGTCTCGAAAAATCTGCAAGTCTTATGGGGCCTTTAATCCCAGCACTTGGGAAGCAGAGGCAGGTGTATTTCTGTGAGTTCCAGAACAGGCTCCAAAATTACAGAGAAACCCTGTCTGGGGGTTGGGAGAGAATCTACAAGGCTGAAACTGTGCAGTCAAGCTCATGGGACACAGGGATGGTCCTTTCTTTGTTCAATCAAATCCTATTTGTAACTTTTTAGCCAGTGTCAGGTCTTATTTCCAAACTCCTGGGCAGCAAACTCTTCAGGAATCTGTATAGGAGAGCCTAGAGCTGCACAATCCTCCATTTCCCCAGAGGTCCAAAGAGAGTGACACCATCTTCCTAAATCTGGGCAACTCTTTCAAGTCACAGAGCATTTCCTGGGATATAAGTGTGATGTCTGGAAAAGCACTCTGACCTAGAGCAATTCCCCACTCCAGTGGAGCAATAGAGCCCTGGCAAGTATGGTGATGGAGCCGCCCCTTGGAAGCTTGGGGGATGCTGAGAGCAGGCTGCCTCTCTCTCCTACCCAAACCACCAGGGAGAACCCCTTTACCTCCCCCACCTCAAGACCTCGGTCCTCAGTCTATTTTACAATGGAAGCAGTTTTCCCCAAACAGGAACACATACCTAGCCTGTCCTTCCTTCAACCTTTCTTTCCTTTCTCCCCCTCTTTTCTTTCTCGTTTTTGAAGAAGAGTCTCATCTCACTCTGTACCCCAGATTCGTCTGGAACTCACTATATAAGACCAGGCTAACCTCAAACTTAGAACTTTTAATAATTCTCCTGCCTCCGCCTCCCAAGAGCTGATTATAGGTATGAACCACTACATCAAGACTCAGCTCTCGCTTTCTTTTCTCTCTCTCTCTCTCTCTCTCTCTCTCTCTCTCTCTCTCTCTCTCTGTGAGAAAAGGGAACAAAAAAGAGAAAGACTAGTTGTAGAATCTTCAGGCAATACAAAAGCCAGTCAAGCCAAACACACACACACACACACACACACACACACACACACACCGAGTTCTTTAAGGACTAGAATGATGTCCACCCTCCGGAAGTTCTCATTTTCACGTCAGGTAAATGGAGCACTTGCTCCCAGATGGGGTCAAAGTGAACAGGTGGCACCATTAGTTATAAATGGTATTATCATGATAATGCAATGGTATTAGTGACTGGTCACTAGAGCTTAGATGTGCAAAATAAAAGCCAGGCTAGTGCCAAAGTGAGTCTATAATCCCAGCACTCCAGGGTCTGAGGCAGGAGGATTAAATTGTGAATTTCAGGCCAGTCCAGTCCAGATAGGACAAAGTGCCTGGCTAGCAGCAGGCCTTGCGTTTGACCCCCAACACAACTAATGCGCAAAGGCCATCCTAACTAAGGCACAGCTGTGTCATCCTGCCACAGGAAAACAAAGCTACCAGCCCGTGGATTGGGGTGTCTACTATGTACTCATGCTCTCCCGTGTCCAACCCTGCACAGCTCAAGACTGAGTGGTGCCTACCTCTTTCCAGAGGCACTGGAAACCGCCTAGGCCACACATACCTCACTAGAGTGTCCCAAAGTGCCACTGAAGGGCTTCCTGAAATGCTCTCAGCAACCTAGCAGAGGCTCAGCATATTCCTTGGGTGGGCAGCAAGTGGAGACAGGCTGGGAAATCATTGACCACTCCAGCTTCAGGGCTACAGGGCAGCACTGTCTTCCTCAGCCAAAGAAAGCTCCACAGAACCAGTCAGATCTCAGAAAAGCAAATAAAACTAACCAATAGAGCTGCTATTTCTCTATAAAACACATCATCAAACTTGGGCACAACTTGCAAAATTCCCAAAAAATCTTAGACACCATTATGATCGCTACAGATTTTGCAGGCGGCCTATGGCTGTAAGAACAAACTTGGTCAAAGTCTTCCCAGAAGGGATCCTGAGTGGCTCCTCCTTTTTATATTATTTCTTTCTTGTTTATCATGAGAGGAGGAGGTGGTTTTGGTACAAAAGAAGCACCTGGAAACTAGGAAAGCCAGTTTAAAAAAAAAAAAAGGTCCTCTTTCCTTGTTCCCAGCCATGCCCAACAGGGAAACAAAGAAAATTCTAGATTATTACAATGAGATAAGACCTGAAATATATTGAGTGCTTGCATTTATGAGTCAGAGCTACCATCTTTTTCTTAAAGAAACGAGGCCAGCCTGGTCTACAGAGCAAGTTCCACTATAGCCAGGGCTACACAGAGAAAATCTGTCTCAAAATACCAAAAAAAAAAAAAAAAGAAGACAAAAAAAAAAAAAGAAAAGAAAAAAACCAATACTATTTTCATCTCTATTAACAAAAGTCACAAGTCACTAAGAGCCTCAGAGACTACATAAATAATGGGAGTCAAATCTCGGTTCTGATCCCCGCCCTGCTGACCCTGTGAAGTCACCTTTTGAGCCTCCAATTGCTTATTAAATGGGAATACAGGCCAACTGGTCCTACCCAGCAGGTTTTGGCGGTCTGAAATGATAGGCTACCTCCCGCAAGAAGTTGGAGAAATACCGATAACCTCTAAATACCCTTGGCCCATCTTGGCCCCTGTAAAAATAGCACAGCCAGACACATCTACCTTGATCAACCACAATCGATAAATTTAGATTCCCAAACTTGCGTAAATCCCAAAGGAGAGTTTTGTCCATTCCTTCCCACGGGCATGGGAGCACAGTTTGTCGGCGCCCCCCCCACCCGATTCAATTCTGCCCAGTTATACCAGCAGAGCGCCCTTACCTCTACCCAGGGCGCGGCCTCTCTCCAGGTGCCTCCCCGGCACCAGGAACGTATAGACCTCGGCACTGAAGCCGGGACGACAGGGCTCGGGTTCTGGCTCCTGGCAGAGCAACGATGAGACCTGGGGTGGAAAAAAGGCAGGCAACCTGGTGACTTGGGGGAACCCATACCGATACCAACAACATAACCCTTCCCTCGCCTGGGGCATCGGGATTGTGGGTGGACGCCCCTCGCGGCAGACAGGGACGCCATCCTCTCAACCCGAAACCAGGCGCCAAACTTCAAGAACCCTTGGGGGAGGGGACTTCCAGGGTCACCACCTCGCAGCCTAGCCTTTCCCACCTGGTTCCATTTGCATCTCACTGGAGTGGAGATGCCTATATTCTTCCGGACACCACTTTCCACGTATCGCAAAGGGTCTCAACAGCTCAGACTTCTCTTTCTTACTCCAGAGAGCCCCCATCCCCAGTCTACCGTCCCTTTACACGGCAGGTGCCTTTATACTGCTAAAGTACCCCTTTCCTTACCTCGGATCGCCCGCGCTGCTTCTACCCCCACCCCTTTTTCATGCAGGCCCCCCATCCTGCTCCAAGCCCCCTCTGCCCGCCTCAAACTGGGACCCAATGCTCAAATTCGGGGTCCCGAGAGCTCGCAACGTGGCGCGCCCCCACCTGGGAACCTGCGGGAGAGGCGGCCACTCTGTGCTTGCCTGGACCCCCCTCCTACTTCACAGCACTCAGCCCCGCGTCGTGCAGCCTCCAGCTGGCCCTCTGCACCCCAACTTTCTTGGAAGAAGGAAATCGGGACGGCAGCAAGCAGCAAATATCAACGAAGGGAGTGGTGGGGCCGAAAGGTGCCCTGCGGGCAGTCAGGACCCTCCAAGTACCTGCAGCAGAAGTAGAATCGCGGAGAAACAGCGGCACAGGGCTCCCATGGCTGGCCGGGCGGACGCCGAGCAAACACGGAGCTCGGGTGCGGTCGGTGCGGTCGGGCAGGGACCGGTTAGGCCGAGCTGGAGTCGAGCAAACTTCCCAAGAGCTCACAGCCGCACCGCTGCTCCCCTCTCCACTGAGCCAGGCAGAGGCTGTGGCCGCCAGGTGAGCCTAAAGGCACCGCCCCCGGCCGCACTGATTGGCTGAGGACGCACCTGCAGGTGGCAGCCAAGGAACGGCACGGCCCTTGACTTCCTCCACCCTAACTGTAGTTGGTGGCTGGCACTGGGACCGAGACTTCCTTGTTTCCTAGAACAAATTCTTTCGAATCTCAGCCCAGGCGTGCTCTGAGTCCACTGAGACTTTGAGTTACAAAGAACTTTACTCTTCATCTACGTTTTTATTTCGTTTTTCTTTATTGTTTTTTGTTGGAGGGGTTTGGTTTACTTTGTCTTAAAGATTTTAAAAACAATGTAGTGTGTGTGTGTGTGTCTGTGTCTGTGTGTGTGTGTGTCTGTGTGTGTGTGTCTGTGTGCGCGCGCGCGCACGCGCGCGCAAGGCACGTGCCACAGCCGGTGTGGAGATAAGATGACAACCTGCAGGAGTCAGTTCTCTCCTTCCGCCAAGAGGGTCTCGAGATTGAATTCCCATCATCAGCCTTAACTAACTGAGCCACCATCAATAGCTTGAGTTTTTTTGGTTTGGGGTTTTTTAAAATCTTTGTTTTCCAGCCCAAGTGGGCCTGGAACTGTCTTAGATAACCTAAGCAATCCTCCTGCTTCCACCTCCCAAACACTGGGTTTGCATAAGTGAGCCACCAGGCCAGAACCATCTAATCATCTAAGTTTCTAACATCTGCCCCCCTCCCCTTGGAGATATGGTCTTGCTATTTAGGCCAGTATGGTCTTGAACTCACTACTGTCCAGACTCAGCTTCCCCACTTCTGGGATGGAACTACAGGTACCCATAAAATCTGTTCTTTTATCTTCTCAGCAGGTTAGTGAGTCAAGGTGTAGATCCAAGGGATTAGAATCTCCTGGGGCTGGAATTACAGGTGTTTTTTTTTTTTTTTTCAGCTGCCCGATGTGGGAGCTGGAAACCGAACTCTGGTCCCCTGGAAGAAAAGCAAGCCTTCTTCACTCCTAAGTCATCTCTCCAGACCCTTGTTTGTCTGGTTATTGTTCATTTGTTTGCCTGAGACAGGATCTATGTAGCCCTGGATGTCCTAGAATTCACTATGTAGACTAGTCTGGCCTGGAACTCAGAGAGGTCCACCTGCCTCCACTTCCCACGGGCTGGGATTAAAGGCGTGTGCCACTACAAATGGCTCGTGTTTGTCTGGTTTTTGGGACAAATTCCTCTTAAGTAGCCCAGACAGGCTTTGAATTTAGAATCCTCTCGCATCAGCATCCTATACGCTGGGATTACAAACAGGCATTACTACACACACCAGTTTTTGATGTCGAACTGGAAGAGAAACTTTAGGATCACTCAATTCTTATTTACCTACAACTTTCTTAATAACGTGTAGGAAGTAAGAGACTAGAACTGAGAGGCTGGAGATGGCTCAGCAGTTAAGAGCACTAGCTGCTCTCCCACAGGACCTGTTTTCAAATCCTAGAACCCGCATGGCAGTTAACAACTGTGACTCCAGTTCCAGGGGCTCTGACGCCCTCGCACAGACACACATGCGGGCAAAACACCAGTATACCTGAAATATAAATAAATTAAAATTAAAAAGATGAACTCCAGCTTTCCTGCTCCACAGATTGAGGCTTTTGTTTGTTTTTCAAGACATGGTTTCTCTGTGTATCCCTGACTATCCTAGAACTCACTATGTAGACCAGGCTGAGCTCAAACTCTGCCTGCCTCTGCCTGCCTCTGCCTCCCTGGTGCTGGGATTAAAGATGTGCACCATCCCTGCCTGGCTAGATTGAGACGTTTAACGCCATAGCCATAACACGTTCACCACCACTTTCTGCAGAGAATTCTATCTGTGGTACATTATTTTAGGATCAAAAATAAGATAAACATTAGATCAGTTTCCCTGTCTTGCCTGTCCTGCCATGGACATGCTAACAAAGGCACCTCTCGTCCTATGATACAGGTTTTGACAAAACTACAAAACAGAGGTTGGGCCAGGCGGTGGTGGCGCACGCCTTTAATCTCAGCACTTGGGAGGCAGAGCAGGCAGATCTCTGTGAGTTCGAGGCCAGCCTGGTCTACAAGAGCTAGTTCCAGGACAGGCTCCAAAACCACAGAGAAACCCTGTCTCCCTGTCTCGAAAAACCAAAAAAAAAAAAAAAAAAAAAACAGAGGTTGCAGGGCTGGAGAGATGGCTCAATGGTTAAGAGCACTGACTGTTCTTCCAGAGGACCTGGATTCAATTCCCAGCACCCACATGGCAGCTCACACTGTCTGAAAATCCAGTTCACCTTTATACCAATGAACATAAAGTTAAATAAATCATAAAAAATTTAGAAAAATTAAAAATAAAAATCACAATAAAAAAAAAAAACAGAGGTTGGGATGGGACTCAGTTTGTAGAGAACAAACCTAACATGAATGGAGCCCGGGATTCCACCCTTACCACTCTAGAAACCAGGTATGGTGCTAGCCTGCTATAATCCCAGCACTTGGGAGGTGGTGGCAGGAAAACCCTAACTCCGGGGCCATCCTCCTCGGCTGCATACTGAGTTTGAGCCCTGAGAGTCTCAAACAAGCAACCAAAAACTACAAAATAATGTTCTTGCAGTCAGTGCCTGTGTGACCTTAGGCAAGTTAGTGACCTCATCTGTACAATTGAGCCCAAAGCCAGAACAATCACTGAGGAGTGAGAGTTATGCCTTTGAAAGGCCTAGCCCTATCTCCCCACCCCTGGGAACAGTCCAACCCTATCGTCCCACCCCAGGGCACAGTCAGGTTTACAGTATTTCCCTTGAAGCTAATGGTAAACCTGAGCCCACAAAGAGTGCAGCTTCGTCTGTAGAGGTGCTGTCTCTAACCCACATAACCCACATTGTCTCTGCCAGCGCTCCCCCAGGCGAACCCCTCCATTTTAATGGCTTTCTAAGCTCACACCCAGCAGCCTTTTGGATTTCCGCTTCTTGGCTCCCTGGGCCTCTTAGCCCACCAGGAGGCTCTGAGGGAGAGGGCTCTGGTATTTTCTTTCCCACTGAAGCTCTTGCCCAGATCAGGGCACTGAACAAGATAATGGAAATAAAGAAGCGTTTTCCCCCATTGGGCAGCCTGTCGTTTATTTTTTTTTCCTCCCAGTTATGTAAAAATACATATTTTATATCATTGCTAGGTGCAGGGAGTCTTTGGGGCTTTGATTTCTTCTGCCAAGCAAACATTGGCCTTGGATTCCTGAGGACTCTCATTGACTCTTCCATTACACTCTGATAATTCAATAAAGAGGGTTTTCGATGATTAAGGGCCGTGTGGACGGGTCAGTCTAAAGCACTTTTTTTTTTCAGTCCTGATGCATTGCTTCAGATTGCTTATCAAGTACTTCTCTAGGCTTCGGAGAGGGTCAGAAAGGGTCATTCATCATCCCCTCCCCCCATCACACACACCCCAAGGAGAGAACACAAAGCGGCTCCCAACACAGTTGGGGCTCTGTGAGGCAGTGAACTTCTCCTCTTCTGTCAAACAGGCATCGACCTCGAGTGTGAAGATCCACTGGGTCCGTATGTAGAGACTGCAGTGTGGGAGCTCCTAGTCTGTATTTATTAATCCACAAAAGGGACGGTGTCCATAGGAAATCTCAGTAGGTTCTTGGGAGGTAGGGCCTCTAGTCCAGGATGGCCTCATACTATGTAGGTGAAAAGATAAGCCTCCCTTTCTGAACTAATCTCCCGAGTGCCAGGCTGACAGGAATGTGCGGGAGCCCAACCCAGGGCCCTGTGAATGCTAGGCAAGCACTCTACAAATTGAACTGGACTTCCTCAACCCTTAGAAGATTGTCCTACATATTCTATAGCAATGTCGTTGTTAGTGGATGGTGGAACCTGAACCCATAACACAGGCTATGGATAGCTGTATTCCAGCCCCCCCCCTTTTTTTTGTTCTTTTTTTTTTTTTTTTTTTTTTTTTTTTTTGAGACAAAGTCTCAACTAGTTGTTCAGGCTAGTCTTACACTCACAGAAAGGCTTTGAACTTGTGACCGTCCTTCCTCAGCATCAACTGAAGGCTACAGGCTTGAACCACCAGGCCCGGACGCTCAGCAGCAGTCTAGAGAAACAGTCTGTGAGGAAAGAAAACCAAACCAACACAAAACAAACATGTGAGTACCCTGGGAACCTCCCCAGTTCCAGGATCTCTTTTCACCACCCACTAGAAAAGCCTCTGAGGCTATCTGTGACCTGGGAAAAAAAACTTTTACACAATCCAGCTAAGCACTGAGAACTTCTCAGGGTCATTTGCATTTTAAAGAGGGTGCTGAGGGCTGAATTTGCTGCTTTCAAAGGAAAGAAATCCTCAGAGCTAGTCCAGGGGACTTAACCTGAAGTGTTGGTTGGGCTGTGAGGAGGGTCTGTGTTTGCATCCAATGCTTCTTAACTCAACTCGGGAGGAGAAAAAAAAATTTAAATCCTGAGATCAGGATCCTGAGAATCTCAGGCACTAACAGAGAGATCACTCTGGTAAGATTGGCAGACTGTCCCACCCTAGATGCACGGCACCCAGCCCTCAGTGGATTGTAAACCGTAGGCTCCTTCATTGCACACTTGGGCTGTGGCTGATGGACTTTCATTTCCTGGATGCCCTACCGGTCAGCGAGAAGGCTAATGATTAACCCCCTGAGCCCTCTTGGTTTCCGGCCCCAGGATTGCAAAAACACTAATGGCTTCTCAGGTGTAACAGCACAAGCCTTTAATCATAGCATTCCAGATGCAGAGGCAGGCAGATTTCGATGAGTGAGGCCAGCCTGGTCCATATAGACAGTTCCAAGCCAACCATGGCTACACAGTGAGGCCCTGTTAAAGGTGTGGGGCGGCGCATGGTTACTTGCATATAAACAATGAACAGTCTCTTTATGGCAGTCATCTCCAGGTTACCTAATACAATGTGGATGCTGTACATTGCTTGTATATATTGTCCTGGAACTCACTATGTACAGATCAGGCTGGTTTTGAACTCACA